TCTTGGCTCTGGAGTTGGAAGCTTGAGCCTGTGGGAGCAGTGCTGCTACCTTGTGGGGGGGCGCTAGCCGCTGCTAGAGGGGGCATCCAGGAGTGAGGGTTTAGGTGGGGCTTTTTATCTTTGACCCCCCCCCAATTTAAAATGTAATATTTATTAAGTCGTGAGTACAGTCACATGGTTGAAATCTCCAAAGTTACCAGGTGAGCCAAGCAGGTGCGGAGCGGGACCACCTGGGGTGGTGCCACGTGCTGCTCTCGCTGATGACCAGGTGGTGCTGGTTTCTGCCTTCTCACCCAGTGACTGGTGTGGCAGCCCCCTCCGCCGTGGGAGACGGCTCGCCACCCTTTCCGCTTGGCCGAGTGGGCCACCGGCTCCTTTCGCCCTTGAAATGGTACCTGGTCTGCCCGACGGTTTGCTCATCCCACTTTGTGAGATGTTCAAAATGCCTTACACCTCAGTGTCCTTGTTTTGTAGCCTTTCCTGTGAATGAGTCTTCCCCCTCCCCCCTACCTCCTGAGCTGAGTCACTGTCCAGGAGGGACATCAGAGCTGGGACCCCGAGTTATTCTAAAAGGAAGGCAGTCAATGCCCAGCCAGCCCAGGTGAAGAGGCAGAGGCCCAGGAAGGTCATTTGACCTGCCAGGTAGCAGCCTGGGCTTGGGCCCCTACCCTTTGTCACCTCGCGTTACCAGCAGTGCAAGGGAAGGGGGAGTATAACATGCCCCCCGTCTAGAAATAGGCACGGTGTTCAGAAGACATAGACAAGAGTCCTCGCAGCTCTGGGTTCTACCTGCCCCAGTAGTGGTCTTCATCTCCCCAGCCCCCCTTGCGGGCTACAGGGCAAGAGGAAGTCAGCCGTTCCTGTTTGGGCTCAGAGTAGAACTGAGGGGAGAAGTCGCTCCTGAAGGAGAAGAGACAATAGGACATTTCTGAGTGCTTCTGTAGGCCGGACCCTGCTGGCTCATCACTTCCAGTGAGTGGTCCCAACAGCCCAGGAGGCAGGACCGCTCACCAAAGGGGCCGGGTGTGAGGCTGCCCTGCTTCGCCGTGCAGTCAGTCGTTTGTGGGAAGGCTGGTTTCAGTGTGGCTGCATCCCCATCATGGGTGTTGGGTGGAAGTTGTGGCAAGTGCAGTGGTTTTCCTTGAGAGGGAGATAACTGACGTAACAAAGATGTCTTGGATCTTCACATCTTTTCCCTGAATTGAGTGCTTGAAAATTGAAGACAGCGTCCCGGCCGGCTTTTTAAATGTGGCATTTGGTGAATCGGTGATATCAGACAGCATAGGATATAAAACTATCTCAGATTGCTCTGGCATTATGTCATGAAAATGAGTTAATTTGTTGAAAATAAATTTGCACATTCTTGTCACTACAGATAACATTGGGTTGTTTTTATCATTTGGCTGAAGAGCTAGGTTGGCTTAAGCCTAGGTGACAGCAGCTTGCAGGGACTCCCACAGAGAGGGTGGACGGGCCATGACAGCAGGAGTGGAACAGTAACTCTTGTGTAGTCATCGAGGGAGAGGAGCGCTCACGTGCCTCCGCGTGGGGTCCTTTCCTTCGATCAGCCTGTGAATCTTTGTCCTCCTCCTTCACTGACACAGGAGCCCTGCGGTCTGCAAACTCAGCAGTTCGAAACCAGCAGCCGCTCCAAGGGAGAAAGATGAGGCTGTCTACTCCTGTAAAGAGTAGACAGAAACCCACAGGGGCAGTTCTGCCCTGTCCTACCGGGTCACTAGGAGTCAGCATCAACTAGATGGCAGTGAGTTTGGCTTGGTGTCGGGACTGTATCATCAGTGCCGAGATGTCATGTGACTCACGCTGCTGAAGGTGTGTGTTTGGTTTGTTCCTTCCAGAATATGGCTGAGCCCCTTGTACCCACGGATTGCCCACGGAGCTCAGGGATCCGGAGAATCGGCAACACATTTTAAAGCCGACCTCATCAGTTACTTGAGGGCTTACAATGCCCCTCCTCTCCAGGAGTGGATCAGCACCATCCAGGAACACAACCTTTCTGAAACCAAGTAGGTGCCATCTGCCCAGTCTGAGGTGCTCTGGATCGATAACACCTGGGGTGCCAGGGGTACGGATAGAGGTGGGGAGGTAGTTGGCTGTACTGCCCAGGTGAAGAGGGGATGCCAGCAGATTGTGGCACCAGCTATGTCCTGGTTCCTGGGCACTGAAGTCCAATAATCTTTCCACCTACCTTAAGCCTCCCACTGGGCCCCTTTAAAATTAAGGAGTCCTTTGCCTGGTACCTTACACCTTGTAGGTATTCCACCCCTCGCTGTTTGTTCTGCTTGGACAGTGAGGTTGCAGACTGGTTACTGCAGCCCAAGAGAGGCTGTCAGGATGTGGACCGGCATTCAGGACACTTCATGCTTCTGTGACGCTTCTCCCGTGCACATTTGAGGATGCCTCAGTGCCCACAAGTCACAACATGATACTCCACATCTGTGTTTTATATTTTTTAGTGTTTACCTCATTGGATCAACCCCAGGACGCTTTCAAGGAAATCTAAAGGACAACTGGGGACACTTTAGACTCAGGAAGGTACAAGCTGTTCTTTCTCCCCCCAGCCCTCTGCCCCTCCTCCCGTAGCTCCCCTTGCCCCCACACTCAGGTATATTGTCAGCATCACTGTTTCTCCAGCACAATTTTGGGTAAAGAGCAGGCACTTGACAAATTGAATGTTAAACTACAGGTTTCGGCAATGACTTGTCTTTTCCTGTTTTATTTTGCTACTTTTGTTAAGTGTGGAGTAGATGGTTCAGAATGATCTAATATGTGGACTTCGTGTTTCGTGTTGCTAATATTTTGAAACAGAGATACTTAAAGGCTTGCCCCATGCAGGAAGCAGCGTAGCTATTGCTTGTTCAAGATTTCTGAAAGCAGCCCTGAGTAAGGGCTCTCACTGAGCTGGACTGTATGTTGTGCTCTACGCCAGTGCCTTTCAGAGACTTGTGGCTATAAAAATGGCATCTTCAGCTAGGATTTTAAAAAGAAACAAACAAAGGTCTTTATCAATGTGAAGTAGCCAAATAGAAGGTTCGAGTGTCTTTATCTCTCGTTATCTTTTCCAATTGGCCTTACTTCCCTAAGGAGACTTTCCTGAAAGCCTGATCTGTCGTTCCCTAAGTGCTTTCTGTTGTACAAGAGCTCCCCTGGGTTTGTCTTCTTCAAACTCTCCTTTCCGGGGAAATGAGGCCACAGCATAAGGCAGGCAAGAGCTCCATCTTTTTGGTTTTCAGCCTGCAGAGGCCATGGAAAGGGTGCTGAGGGCAGGATGGCGTAGGAGGGCTGGGCCTGGGCGCTGTCGGAGGGTGGGGATGGTGTTGAGGAAGACTCCTATGTGGGGCTCCAGTTCCTTTTCCTCAGGAGTCAAGTCACCTTGGCTGGTTCCCAACCTGCTTGTCTCATCATCTCTAAAGTGGGCCGTCGTGGTGGGCTCCCATGCTGGTGTAACTTCTCACTGAGAAGTGTGGGCACGGGATGAAGGAGACGGGTAAGAGCGGTGCAGGGTGTACTTCAGGGTTGAGAAGCACACGTCGCTCTTCATTTGTGGCTGGGGCGAGTGGTGGCGTGAGGCTGGGCGTACCCGCACTCATCCTGAAAGTAGAGACTGCAAGCCAGTCTTCAGCAGCCCGTGTTCCGGGGAGGGCAGGCGGAGGCTCAGCTCCCGGTTCTCCTGGAGCAGGGGCAGTGAGTACTGTTTTAGTTTTAGGGGGCGGCTTTTCTTGGAACCCCAGCTTGTAGTTGGAGACTCCATACATGTTGTCAGCTGAGTCTTTGCCAGGGGAAGCCAGCACCTAACACATCATTACGGGTCCGGTAGGCGCAATTGTACAGCGATAATGAGCAAAGATTATAGTAAAGTTATAGAGAGCGTGAGAGATAGAAGAGAAATATAGAAATAAATGGAGTCAGACACATTACATGGTAGCATGCTCACCTCAACCCCGCTCGGTGGTCCATGTGGAGAGGGTGAGAGAATCTTTAATGCTAACCAAGGCTTTTATATTCTCTGGGGACATGCAAGCCCCTAATTACAGGGGAAGACATACGTCATAGGAAGAGGTTGCACTATATGTTATACAGCAATGGGAAGGGGTGGTCTAGGGACATACACGCAATAGGAAGAGGAGGGATTGAGGGTATACTTGTGGCAAGATGGGAGGATCCTGGATACAGGATGGCAGCCTAACTTTGGATCTCACAGAGCCAGTTTGACCTGTTCCCTGGCTCAACTGATAGAGACGTTTATGAGTAGGGTGTGAACTCCACCTACAGGAACCAAGCTAATGGTTGCAAGCTTCAGGGAGAAATAGTCCATTGTCCCCAGCAGCAGGGAGCAGGCCCGCCCCTGTGGTGGGGTGAGACAGCAGTCTGGCAGCGATTGCCTTCAGGGAGGAGGTCTGTAATCATCTGACCGACCCCCCCTCCCCAAGTCTTGAGTGGTGATATGTTAGAGGACGATGCTTTGAGTCGACATGGACTGCATGGCAGTGAGTTTTGGTTGTTTGATGCTCCCCGTTAGACAGCTTATCACCGTAGACAATAGCTGACAGAGTAAATATGCAGACAGAAGACTATAAGGGAAAAAGTCATGTATCGATTATAACAGAATTGTGATTTCTTAAAACCAATTTCCTGTTCTTTTGAATATTTTAAATAACTTGTATGTTTTCTTGTCATATTACAGAAATTGATACAACAAATCCTATTTCCCAGTCATTCATTCACTATTTCATTCCTTCATTCAACAAATATGTGTTATGTGTCTTTTCTGACCAAATACAGTTTTTTCACACCTATATTTCTGTAGTAACTGTTCTCTTCATGTTATCAGTGAAATTATATCTCTCGCCCAACATCATAAAATTAGCACTTAAAGGATATAGGACTGTACCTCAAACTTACCTGGCTCCAGAGATGGTATTTCTAACCACTATACTAAACCAACGTATTGCATTAATGGTTGTATTTTGGCTCCCCTGTTAAATGTCAGGCATGAAATTAAAGAGCATGTTGGGTGCATAGTGTGTGCATTTTTAATGCCAGCAGAGTGCCTATGACTACTGCGGGTGCTCAGTGAATGTTTTCTGAATCAAAATTCTCTGTCACATTGTGGTCCCAGATTATTGAATAATCATATACCCAAACCCACTGCCTGGAGTCAATTCTAACTCATATTGACCCGACAGGGTGAGGAGAACTCCTTTGGGTTCCTAAGACATTCTGTGCATGGGAGTAGCCAGCCTCACCTTCCTCCTAGACAGGGTTTTTCTTTTATACAAGAAAACTCCCATTCTCACTGCATTAGTGCAAGTTGACTAGAGAAACATCCAGAGACACTCATATATTTATAACAGATAGCTTGATATCAAAGAGTAATTATATATTAAGAAAATGTCCCAGCCCAGTCCAAATCAAGTCCATAAGTCCTATATTCACCCATCTGTCCAATACGAGTCTATAAATTCCTCTTCAGGCTTACGCAACACATGCAATGATGCTGAATACAGGAAGATCACAGGCCAGTGGGGGAAAATCTTGTAGATCACTGGGGGTGGAAGCATCTCAACGGTGGTGTGGGTCTCCACGTGGCTCCTCCAGCTCCAGGGTTCTGGCTCTCATCAGCGTAGCTCCATGTGGCTTGTCAATAGGAAAGTGTAACAGAGAGTGTGTGTCTCCCGCCTCCAGGGAGGAAGACAGGAGTTCCCAGAATCCTCGGGAGGCCACGCCCACACAGGCATCATTAGCTATGACCTGATTGACAGGCTAAACTCTTCTACCCCTTTGCTCAAGTTGACAGAAGATTATGAAACTGCCCCACTCCCATAAGATTTGCAATATTCCACTCCCTTGGCAAAACTAGAGGAGAGTGAGAGAAAGACTTGTGATTTTTATTGGGCGATTATTTTAAAATAAAAGCATTTAGAACAAATCTGCCTCCAGCTGAGTGCCGGAGATTACTGTTTACCGTAAAAATATTTGGAAAAGTGTGTAAATCCTTCTTTCTCCTTTGATGCAATTCAAAGGCTTAATCATCACTAGACC